CCGGTTAAAGAAGGCGATCCTGTGGGATTTTTGAATTGATTGCGCGATGCTGGCGTGCCTATCATCTTTTCGTCAGCAACACAGCCCCACAAAGGCCGATGTGAGTTTCACTGAGGGTTTTTGAACTTGGTTTCTTCATCGTTCACAAACTCGTCTTTAAACACAATTCGAAACCGTCCAGCTCCATACTCGAACCTAGCGACTTCGGTTCCCGTCTCTCTAATCCTGGCCGCTTTCCGTTCGCATCTGCGAGTCCTGTTACACGTATTCATGATTGGCCAATAGCGCCAGATTACCATAAAGATACCACATATTCTTCCATTCTCTCTTCATCTGTTCTGAATCTTGACCATTTGTCGCAATGTCTCCTACTTTGGAGAACACTCACCTAGCCGAAGTGACGACCGTGGAAAATGTCTCCGTCACTGAAGACAATCTGACATGGACTCGCACCGGGACATCCGAGAGTGCTTCACGTCATGAGCTTGTCTTGGTTCACGAAGCAACAAACTCGCAATCAGGGTCCTCGCAATACCTACTCTTTATCCTCAAGGAGGACCCAGAGAACAAGGAAATCCCATTTCAGCTCTCGATACTGAGGACGGAGGAAATACACACCGACCTTCGAAGTCTCACAGTGGCTGGATTCCCTCCTCATCTTAAGCACAGCTCTGTCAACGAGCATGGTGCCACAAGCCAGGTGGACATTATCGTCTCGATCAAATCAGGTGTTGGACTCGCCTCAAAAGTATGGGAAGATGTTCTCCATCCTATTTGGACATACATCGCAGGAGATGATTCTGGCCAATCAACATATCGTCTTATTCACACAGAAAGCCCAGAGACCATCCGAGACTATGCAAAGCAGTTATGGACTACAGATGAACGTTCGAAAGCGAGGACTATCGTGCTTCTGAGTGGAGATGGTGGTATCGTCGATCTCCTCAACGGCTCTGACGGGAATCAGGTGCCAGAGAATCCTCCTACAGTTGCCCTTCTCCCTCTGGGCACCGGAAACGCCCTCTTCCATTCTACCCACAAGCCACTCTACACCGAGCCTGGTCCAAGCCCACTTGTACTCGGGCTCCGAACATTATTCCAAGGGGTTGGCGCTGATCTTCCCGTCTTCCGGGCAGCATTCTCCCCTGGATCCCATATCGTCAAGTTTACGGACAAATCCAAGGAACAGCCTTCAACTCCTGGCGTAAACCAGATTCAGAAGCAGGAGACGTCAGTCACGCATCTTCAGGGAGCTATTGTAGCTAGCTACGGATTTCACGCAAGTCTTGTCCACGAGAGTGACACACCTGAATATCGTGTCCACGGCGACAAGCGGTTCCATATGGTCGCTGAAGGGCTTCTGAAGGAGTCTCACCCATATGCTGCAAAAGTGTCTATTCGGCGTCGAGGTTCTACTACGTTTGAGGATATTCCTCGCGAGTCACATGCCTACGTGCTCACAGCTCTTGTATCGAATATGGAGCGAAAGTTCGCCATTTCGCCTGCTACTAAGCCGTTGCAATCGCAGCTTAGACTTGTGCATTTTGGGCCAATTGGTGGTGAGCGGACGATGAGTGTCATGATGAAGGCATACGATGAGGGCAGTCATGTTGGTATGCAGTGGCCTGATGGAGAAAAGGTTGGCTATGACGAAGTCGACGAAGTCAAAATCTCGGTTCTGGAGAGAGATGAGAGATGGCGGAAGGTGTGCATCGATGGGACTATCGTTGAGATACCTGAAGGTGGAGATATGAGTATCAATATGCTTGATCACAGTCTCTTCAAGATCCTGGCAAGCCCTGTTATTTTAGAGAGCCGTGAACAGGCCTGATCCTCTATATACTCAGGAATGCTCTACATGCACCCGAATAAATATTCTCTAGTCTTGAAGCAGCTTCTTGACCCTCTTCTCGATGAGCCGTTCAAACTCATCCACACCATTCTCCAATGTATCCATCTTACCACCCTTCAACCTGTACACAATCCTTCTTCGCATGAGTTCATCGTCGTCGTCATCTTCGTCTGTTTCCTCATCCTCATCCACAGCACCCTCAATCACACCTCGCATAAACCATCGATCGTGGCTTACTAAAATTACAGCACCCTCCCAATCCCTTAATGCCTCCCTCAGTGCAGTCACAGTCTCGTAATCGAGATGAGTCGTGACTTCATCAAGAACAAGACAATGAGGTCGTCGCCATAGGAGACGAGCCAGCTCACAACGCACAACTTGCCCTCCCGATAGTTTACACAGGGGAACGTCGGATGCAATACGGCCTGGAAGACCAAGTTGGCCTAAAAGACCGCGAAGATCTCCTTCTGTGAGTTCGCCTTCCACTTCGCGAGTGAGAAGAGCAAGAGCTGTAAGAGCCGGTTCTTCACGACCGAGAGACTGCAGCGTCTCAACGGCATGTTGAGAGTAGTATGCCAGCTTCAACCGGGGATGTGTATTTAGAGTTCCAGACGTAGGCCGAGTGTCACCGACGAGGAGTTTGATGAGTGTCGACTTGCCCGCTCCATTGAGGCCAAGAATGCCAATACGGTCCCCCATGCCAACAGAAAGAGTAATATCCTGGATAATAAGTGGTGTCTTGGCTGAATATCGGAACGCAACCTTCTCGAGAGAGATCAGAGCACCAGGGAAGCGCAGGTCAGGTGGCTCAGGAAGATTCACCACGACGGGGCGGTCTTCTGGTGGAATGTCGATATCATCACGCGCAGTCAAGTGAAAGCCAACAAGATCCCGATTGAGCTTGAAACGACCGCCCCTTGCGTTGACTTGCAACCCCCAGCGGTTATCAAGCTTCTTCTGACGAGACTTGGCCTGACGGAGTTTGTTGGTATCGTCGTTCGCCTTGCCAGCTTTCATGTTGGCAGCGATGGACTTTTCGATATGCGCTTTTTGCTTGTCTTGGGCTTCTTTCATGGAGGTGAGCCATTGTTTGCGCTCACTTTGCGATGCCTCGTAAGTGGGAAAATCGCCATGGAAGTAAGTAAGTTGCTTGTCTTTGAGGATTAGCAGATCGGTGCAAAGAGAGATGAAGTCCCGATCATGGGATACGAGAATGAGTGTTGGTGGGTTCTCTGTTTCTTCGAGATTCTGAAGATAGCGTTGGAGCCAGATGATTCCTAAGAGGTCGAGAAAGTTGGTAGGCTCATCGAGGATGAGGATATCGGTTTCTTGAACCAGAGCAGTGGCAAGAGAAGCACGCATGTGCCAGCCTCCAGATAAGCTCGAAATAGGTTTCTGGATAAGAGTTTCTGAAAAGCCCAGACCGGTCAGGATCTTTTTAGCCTTGGACTCAATCTCTGATACACGAGTTGGATCGACCTGTAGTTGAAGATCGGCGAGCATATCGACTGCTTCTTGGGTCTCAGCTTGAAGAGTTTCGGGTGAGATATCCTCATTGGATTGCCCCAGGCTATGGAGAGTTAGAAACAACGACGAAAGATGGAAGACAGTTTTTACAGTTCATTCGACTCAGCTACGACCTTTTCGAAGGCAGTGAGTGCTTTGCGAGCTTGCATACCGCGAGCACCACTGCGAAGCCGAGCATCTTTATCGAGACGGAAGAGACGCTCTTGGTGCTTTCTGTGCTTCAGATGCCTCAATGCTTTGACTGGGGTAAATGGATCAGAGGCATTTATTCCTTCTGTTAGATCTGCATAAAGAGTTAGGCGAGGTCTGGGTTGGAATGGTGGATGGAGTACCTTTGAAATCCTGTTCGATGGCATGTTTGGCTGTAGCCTTTTCGATGACTTGCTCCAGCACAGATGCTTTGTCGCCATTGTTGGTGCCGGGTCTCTCCTCAGGCTTTTCATCAGTCAGTCTAGTTTGCTGTAAAATAGCAATTCTAGTCTCCTCTGGGATGCCTGGGATGAGTTTCTCGGCGATGGCTTTGAGTAGTGCTGGATTGCCACTGTTAGCACCTCATCAACGACAATATCATGCACACTCTCTTACTAGACTTTCCAGTTCCATTGCGTCCTACAAGAGCATATCTCTGGCCCTCTTTCAGTCGAAGCTTGGCCCCAGCGAGAATCTCAATGCCCTCGCCTTTTGACTTTGCTTTTCCCTTGCCAGAAGGTTTGTCGCCTGAAGTTACTGTGATGTTGACTCCATCGATGTCAAGCTATGGATGGTCAGTAGGTAGGCAGAGAATAAGTGATGAGTTTGTGACAAACCTCGCGATGATTGGTGATTTGAAAGCGTGTCTGCTTGGAGTTGCAGAGAATGGTCGCTACAGATTCAGAGGCTGCCGACGTCATGATGGAGGTTGAGGAATTGAATAAAGCGACAGGAATAGTATGTATACACGATCTACAAAGACCAAACGGCTGAACGAACGAACTTGAGCTGATGTAGAAGCAATCGCTATAAGTCGAAGCTGCCCTAAAAACAAGGCTCGATGATATTGATGAATCGGTCTTATTTATTAATTCTTCAACAGTAGGGGATCTACATGCACAGTGTATGATTTCGATACACTTTTCTCGGCTGAACCAAGGAGTTGCACTATTCGCATTCCCAATTCGTGATGCGACTGCTTGCTTGAATTGTCGCCTCCAAGTTTAGTAACTAGTGCGATTCAAGTGCCACCGTTTGTGGTGTTACAAAGCGCGTGACTCACGCCGAATGACTTGGCTGAGCTCGCAATTACATAGACTTCCCCACGCTGCAATAAAAAGAAACATCAATTTTAGAGGACAAGTAGCGTTCTGACTGACTTTATATAATTTTGGTGCATGCTTGAGTCATACTCCGTTGTCTTCCTTATGTTAGTAGTTTGAGTTGCCTGTACCTATCTCTTACCAAGTTGATATGTATTTACCCTATTATCCTTAGGTATTTACTACAGTGATTAACCACCTTCCTAATTCTGCCTCTCCCGTCTTATCACTTACGGCAAGGGCATCTCCCGAATAAATAACAACCACTCACTTCCTCTTCAAGTCTTTCATTTCTTCTTCTTACAACTTCACTCGCTATCTCGATCAAAATGAACTCTTCTGAGAACCTGTGCACTTCTTCTGTCGACGCTTCTTTCGGCCCCTATGTTGGCCCTGAATGCCGCGATGGCTTCGACTTTACTCTCGTCTTTGAGCAATCCATTCTTGTGCTGTCTCCAGCCGCTCTTCTCCTCATCCTCGCTCCTATTCGTCTTTTTCGTCTCCGGAATGTCCCCGTCAAAGTCACTGGCCACCGTCTTCGAACTGTCAAATTGGCGTTGATCGCTCTTTTGGCTGTGCTTCATCTCGTGCTCATTGTGCTTTGGGCTACGCACCCTTCCAATTCGCGTCTAGATCGCGTCTCTGTCGCTGCTGCATGTGTATCCTTTGCCTCAAGCCTGATGTCCTGTGTCCTCTCTCGTGTCGAACATGCCAAATCTCCTCGTCCATCCTCTCTCTTGAGTCTGTTTCTCGCTGTGTCTTTGCTCCTTGATGTCACGCTCCTTCGCACCCTTTGGCTTGTCCCTCTGAGTGCGGCTATTCCATCTGTTTTCACGGCGGCCTTTGCTCTGAAAGCGATTATTGTCGTTCTTGAAGGGTGCAGCAAAGCTCCATATCTTGTTGCCGGCTCCGGGCCCCACTCTCCCGAAGTCACGGCCGGACTGTACGCCCGAGCCGTCTTTGCGTGGGTAACTCCGTTGTTACTGACGGGATTTCGAAAGCTTCTGCGGCCGATGGATCTGTTTGAGTTGGACGAGGAGATGGGCTCGGCGGGACTGATCGACAGGTTTTGGAGGCATTGGCATACCCAGAAAGGTTTGTCTATTTATTCCCTTCCCCTTCTCAGATAGCTACATAGTATTATACTTTAAACTCCTCTGTGATGTCCATGTACTAAATGCTGGCTTAGCTCCGGCTCGAAAACACCAGCTGATTTCATGTTGCGTCATGACACTGCGATGGTCTATCATCGCTGTTGTTCTTCCTCGCCTGGCTCTTCTGGCATTCACTATATGCCAACCACTCATTCTCAACCGGCTGCTGGTGTTTCTCGACGATGCCTCTCAGTCTATCAACATTGGTTACGGTATCATCGCAGCCTACGGTCTTGTTTACTCTGGTATTGCTCTTTCACAAGCCCTCTATTGGCATCGCAATGCTCGGTCCGTCACATTGTTGCGTGGAGTGTTGGTGTCTGCCGTGTTCTCCAAGGCCACCGATCTGAGCATCACGGCAACAGACGATTCAGCGGCGGTGACGCTCATGTCTTCTGATGTAAGGACCCTTTCACAAAATCATGTATCGGGCTGACTATTTCCTAGGTCGATGTTATTGTGAGGGCGGTCAGAGAGATCCACGAGTTTTGGGCAAACATCATACAGCTTGTCATAGCCACTTGGTTACTTAGCACTCGCATAGGCTATGCTGCTGTAGGTCCCATTATTGTGTCGCTCGTAGCACTCATTGCCACGGTTCTCGTTTCGCCTCTGGCGCGCAAGTACCAGATCTCCTGGCTAGACAAGACACAGAAACGAGTTGGTCAGTTTCTATGTCTTTTCATCTAGCATGATCATACTAACGCTGGCTAGGTATCACTTCTGCCATGATTGGACACATTAAGAGCATCAAATGTTCAGGCCTAGCTCAAAACCTCTCTGACACCATCCTCAACCTCCGAGCAGATGAGATCAAAGCCTCGAAACCATTCAGGATGGTCAGCAGTGCCACGTCCGCCATTGCTCAAGTCCCTTTGCTCATGTCTCCGGTCGTGGCATTTGCTCTCTTCCAAGGGGTTGCCTCGAATTCTGGCGAGACTCTTGATGCTACTAGACTTTTCTCCGCTCTGTCCCTAATCATTCTCCTCGCGCAACCACTTTTCTTTATGTTTGAGGTAATTCTTGACATGAGTGCTGCTTTGGGAGCTTTTGAAAGAATACAAACATTTTTGACCCAAGAGTCTCGAAGAGATTCTCGCCAACAAGAACCAGTTGCAGAGTCGAACGGACCTGATCAAGGAGCCAGAGACTCTATCGAGCTACAAATACTGAGAGAATCCTCATTGTCATCTACAACAGACTCCAGTATGAGAGAAGTTGTTATTCAAGTCTCACACGCAAATATCTCGTGGTCAGAGGATCGTGTCATCCTTCGAGACTTGTCATTTACCGTCGACCGCAATCTGCTTGTCCTACTTCTCAGCCCAGTTGCGAGTGGCAAAACCACCCTGTTGAAAGCGCTTCTTGGAGAAGTTCCCAATATAACTGGATCAATTGACGTTCATAGTAAGGGAGTTGCCTGGTGCGAGCAAAGTCCTTGGCTCCTGGTATGCCTAACCGATATTCACGTTCGTTTCTAAGCTAACATGCCAGAACCGGACAATTCGTGAAAACATCATAGGATACTCGCACTTCGACCCTGTTCTATACCAAGCTGTTGTTAAGGCTTGTGATATAGAGAAGGATTTCGGTCAACTTCCCGAGGGTGACAACACCGTTATTGGCAGCAAGGGGCTGGCCCTCAGTGGAGGTCAGAAGCAACGCGTTGTAAGTCAAGACCAAAAGAGTAATCTGCTATATACTAACTACACAGGCATTGGCCAGAGCTGTCTATTCAAAACCTATGATTGCTCTCTTCGATGATGTCTTTAGTGGACTGGATGGTCAGACTGCCCGTACCGTGTTCGAGAACCTCTTTGGTGAACATGGTTTGCTGAGGCAGTGGAATACGACAACTGTTCTTGCGACCCAATCAGGTATAAAACTTCAAGTCTTGATCAAACATGCTTGCTAACAGGATCGTAGTCGACTTTCTATCGTCTGCTGACCACATCATTTGTCTTAACAAGGATGGGAGAATCTCTGAGCAAGGCACATTCTCTAATCTCAAAGACACTGATGGCTATGTGCACTCTTTACTGAGAGACGGGGTTGATAGGGGCGAAGCCTCGACGCTTGAAACTGACGATATCAAAGCACAGGCCCCCCCAAAGCAACAAGCCGATGAAGAAGATACGCGCAGACAACGGGGGGACTCGACGGTATATCGATACTACTTCAGCAGTACTGGAGGTCCTTTTATGATAGTCCTTCTAGTACTCGAGATCATCTGGGCCTTTCTAGAAAGCTTCCCAAGTCTGTCACCTAGCTTTCGGTTACTGTTCGAGATACTGACATGGACTAGCAATTTGGCTGAAATTCTGGACTGATGACAATGCGCATGGAAACGATCAAGCGGGCTACTACCTTGGTATCTATGCCGCTCTTCAGGTTACGGCAGTCATCTGGTTTGCTGTTCTTATATGGTACTCTATGAAGTCTCGACGCACGTACCGGATACTGACTGTCGCAGGTTTGTCATTGTCCTGATAGCGGCAAAGTCTGGGATAACTCTTCACAAGAGACTACTATCTACCGTAGTCCGGTAAGTCTGTGATTGACGTAGAAATGGACTACCAACTAATACTCATAGGGCACCTTTGTCTCTCTTTACCACGGCAGACTTGGGGTCAATCACAACACGGTAAGCTGATATCGCAGAAGTGGTTTCGAAAGCTAACACATGGAGGTTCTCGCAGGATATAGGAATGGTGGACAACCACCTCCCTCTTGGTCTCGTTGTGACTCTCGCCAGTAAGTCAGGGCCTCGGCTCATCAACTAAATGCTTTACTAATAGAACAGGTTTCTTCGGTGCCATCGCCAAAGCCGGCCTCCTCGCCTCTTCAAACCCCTATATAGCAGCTGCATTCCCCCTCCTAGGAGCTGTCTATTTCTATCTTCAACGTGGTTATCTCCGTACCTCTCGTCAACTCCGTCTGCTCGATCTCGAGGAGAAGGCCCCTCTATATACCCAATTCCTCGAAACACTCTCCGGCCTGGCAACCATCCGAGCCTTCGGATGGAGAGATGCAGTTATTCAGGCCAACCACACTCTTGTGGATCGCTCACAGAAGCCTTTCTATCTCCTCATGATCGTCCAGCGTTGGCTCGTCCTCGTCCTCGATCTGACCACCGCAGCCCTGGCTCTTCTTCTCGTTGGTCTCGCGGTTCGTCTTCGCGGGGAAGTCGATGTAGGTTTAACTGGCGTATCTCTCGTGCAGCTAATCTCGTTGAGTGAGACCGTGAACATGCTGATTCAGTTCTGGACCTCTATCGAGACTTCCATCGGCGCTGTAGCTCGCATTAAGAAATTCGCTGAAGAGACTGGCGAGGAGAACTTACCGGGAGAGACACACCAGCCACCAGCCCGGTGGCCTGACGAAGGAGCTATACAGATCAACAACTTGACTGCATCGTATGGTGACGTAGATGGAGAAGGTATTAAAGCTCTTGATGCAGTCAGTTTGGAGATCAAGGGAGGGGAGAAGGTAGGTATCTGCGGTCGCACAGGAAGGTTAGTATTTCCACCCCAATGCCTCGCTCGCCCTAATCGTCTTTCGTTCACAGTGGAAAATCATCTGTCTTTCTTGCTCTTCTCAGACTACTAGACTCCAAGTCTGGTAGTATCATTATCGATGGGATCGCTCTATCCTCTGTCCCTCGAGAAACGATCCGTTGTCGTCTCATCACTCTGACGCAAGACCATTTCGTACTCCCCGGCACGGTTCGACACAACGTTGATCCGCTTGGTATCTACTCCGACGTGGAAATCAAAGAGGCACTTCGTCTTGTCGAACTGTATGATTCAATCGAACGACATGGGGGCTTGGATGCTTCGTTCAATCAAGACACATTGAGCCACGGGCAGAAGCAGCTTTTCTTCCTGGCACGGGCAGTGCTGAGGAAGAATGACGGGAGGATCGTGCTTCTAGATGAAGCAACGAGCAGGCAAGTCGAACAAACGATGCAACTACGAGCTAAGGAAACTAATAGAGCCATAGTGTGGACCAAAAGACCGAAGAGACCATCAAGGCCGTCATCGAGAGCGAGTTCAAGGATCACACCGTCGTGTTTATCACCCATCGTCTGGATACGATCATCGATTTCGACCGCGTAATTGTGATGGACAAGGGATGCGTGATCGAGCTCGGTGAACCAAAGAGTCTCCTTGCATCTGGTACCAGGTTCAAAGCTCTCTGGGCAACCGGGCATTGATCTGGAGAATAACTCACCCATGGACAAATGTTTGGGGGACAATGCGCATTGTTTCATGAGTTTACTGTCTACATATCATCTAAGCTGTCGCGTTCTACGACAATGAATCTCCCCTTGCCTGCTCTCATAGTTCTAATGTGCCTTTCGACATCCTTCGCCGTTTGAACACCCTCTCGATAACGCAATCTCTCAGATGGCATCGCATCAGGACCAGGAGTCCACCCTGTATAGAGCCGAAGCTCAGTGATCTTGCCCCAATGATCCGCCCAGTTGACAAAATCATGCCCAGTTTCGGCCATCAGTGCAGGGAACCAAGGGCAGCAACCTGTGAGGTCAAGAAACTCGAGTGCATATAGATTCTTACTCAGCATGCGCAATACGAGTAAAGCCTCACTCCAATCGTGATCAAGCGAATGTGAATAAAGGTTCGTCCCGCCATAGGCATAACGACCTTGTGGACTCGATACGGTGGCCAGGCGAGACCTTGGTGTTAAGCATGGTTCGGGCCAGTAGGCCAGACTCAAATGCGTGAGCGTGGTAAGCTTAGGAGACAGGGAAAGCAGCTGCTTCCATGATGCGGATGAGGCATGCCCAGGATGCAAGGCGAGCGAAAGGTGGGTGAGGTTGGGCAGCAAAGTTCGGGGAGGGCTTGGAATACTGTCGGAAGCGTCCCAGGATTCTTGTAGTTCAGTCTTGGGTTGATCTTCTCTGGCAGGGAATAACAAGTCACTGATCTCTTTCAGTTTAATTGACCGGCACGCGGAGCCCGAAAGATCGAGGTAGTTTACTTCAGGATTCGAAGCTGTTAGACTATTCAACTCGGTCTCATCAAAAGTATCTGGCGGCGGTAGCAGAATGAGCTTCAGATCACTCAACGACAGCCCAGCTTCACTGGCGATTCCAACATAGCGGATCAGAGCTGCCTTCAAATGGTTGGGCACAAAGTACAGATGGTACTGATTGTACACTCTGTGGAAAGCCCACTCGTATGCGAGTTTCTGCAGCACGATGTCTATCAGACTCCCACGGTCCGGGAGATAAGTCCCTGGCAAACAAGTGTCTTCCAACCCTCTTGACTTCAAGCGCGACTGGCTCACGGAGGAGGCCTCATGAGCAGCATCCGATGAATTACGGGCGACCCAACTCCTGGGGGGAGGAGGGCCAGCGGGGAGTCTCCTGCCATTGCCGTCGAATCTCTGGCGGGCAAGACGGCGAGGAGCAGGGGCCGGCGTGTCTGGGATCTGGAGTATCTCTCTGATGGCTGGGGGTACACTGGGAGCAGCAACAGGCAGGACTGATTGCGAGGTGGAGGAGGGGCTGATCGAGGTACGACGCAGGTTTGCTAGCAACTCATTGACGCTTCGGGAGGGCCTGTCTGCTGCGTATTGCTTGTGAGACTTTGGCTACCACGCGGTTTGAAGAAAGATATGGGGAAGAAGGAGGGGGGGTTTGAAAGGAAGCGAACCGAGAGGTGGCCGGACGCCGGGCGATTATGAGAAAAGCAGAGTAGAGCAGAGGGGAGGGGAGGGGTGTGTGCTTGTGTCAGTCCAGCTGCACAGGCATGATTGTACAGCACAGAAGAGCAAGCAAGCAAGCAAGTACTGCAGCACTCACCAGAATTGTTCGTCGATGTTGACGCAGTCGGAGAAGCCGTTGAGACTGGCTTAAAGGACTTGATGTTGTTCCTTTTTTTCGGCATGCCCGGGACAAGTAGTGCACTTCTCTCTACTGCTGCTGCTGCTGCACTGAAGCTGAAGCTGGGGAGAGAGAAGAGAGAGGGAGGGAGAGAGGGAGAAAGTCAATCAGTCAATCGATGTGCGACAATGCTAGAGGGTATTTGTCTATATTGTCTAGGACCGTGTATCAGTCTCGATGAGTCAAGCAAGTACCGTAGACGCTCATTGTCTGCCTAGTTCTGAGTCTCGCGTGGCAGTGAATGAGTGAGTGAGCGAGTGAGGGACGCAGGGAGTGGTAGAGTGGGAGGGAGTCCAGTTTGACCGAGAAATGATGAAGGATCGAAAGAGTCATCGTCAATGAATGGGTCCCTCATGAGTCCTCAGGTAACCAACAATTACGTCTGTTTTTTCGCCCATGACGGCAGTTCCAGGCTGGTCTTAGTGTCCCCACAGGCGCCAAGCCACTGCCGATGAGCGCTCACCAAGTCATCGGACCCCTGTTGCCCTGATAGAGGATGACTGAGGTGCCCTGTAGGTAGAGTACCTAGTAACTAGTAGAGAGACATTGGATGAGTTGATTTGAATATCGATAGACCAGATGATATCGGCAGATTTGTCAGAACCATGACAAACTCAGTCGGATCACAAGATTGCCAATATTGGTCATTTGACAAACTCGCCCAATGGAGTTGCTATAGTGAGGTAGCCCATATCAAGCAAAGATACGCCCATGCACGCACTCCATGCCTCACTTTCACTTGTTCGGTATAAGACAATGGAAATGCATTCGATAATCCATGTAAACCTGAATCACCGCCAAAGCCCAGTCAATAACGCATGGTCTCTGATCCTGTTTGTTTGCTTGTCTGTACTCAGTAAAGCAGGCCTTTCATGGATCATTCAGGACCAAACGCATATGCAATGAAATGCCGTGTAATAAATGCACTCTATTGCCGTGGCTTGTCAAGACAAAAGCCCCACCGGCCGGCGATGATGTGCATAAGGTATGCATTGGATGCCCACCTACTCACCTCGACTTACACGACTGCGCTGAGGTGTGGTCTAGGATTGATACGGAGGACGCTATTATAACGTACCAATCGCTGATCTGAACTGTAATCACCCTTGAAATAGGGTCTATTATTATCTTGCATCAGGATATCCGCTACCTCGTCTATTGGTCTCTACCTACTTACTAGGTAGCTAATGCAATGCAAGTCATGAGCATGCCAGTCAAATTATTTCGTAAAGAATCTGATACAGCAGTTGTCAAGGGTCTCAACGTATGCGTGCAGGTCGGAGCAGGGGTCTTAGATAGACTGTCCGGATACCTGCATGCCTCAGCAGTTGGAGCATCAGCCTGAGAACTGCCGCTACATCATCCTGCAATTTCTGTTGGTCATCTAATCATAGAAGCAGTTATCTGTCACCGCTACTTGTCTTGGCCATGATTGCTTACCCCAGAGACTAGTGCTTCAGAAAGCGATACTACTATGCCCGGCAGTTCTTCGTTGGCCCCTGGGGTTGACGATGGGATCTCCAACCTGGATGTGATGGATCAACCGTTCCTGAATCGTTTGGGCGTTCGTCGGCAAGGCGCCGCCGTGAACTATGGACAACTGCGTGCCAAGTTTCATCCAGGGAGCTGGAGGGTTGCACAACTTCCCTCGCCACCAAAGTTATATGCTCCTGGGCAGGGTTATCGATGGCCATGCTTCAAGCTATACCGTCATGCCCATGCTAAAGAGAGAAATGATTGTTTGTTGGTATTCTCACAAAGTGGCAGCTGCCCGTTGCTAGTGATGACCGGTGAGCAACAGTCGAATCATGCTGATTGGAAGTTATCTCATTTCAACCTGGGGTACCGTAAAGTTATCAATTCTGATAGGCAGCCCACGATGAATACTCTATCACGAAATTCTGAAAGAAAACCATCAAAACAAATGAAGCTCTTATCGAGGGCCTGGACCTTGGTTCTGTTTGCCTTGCCAGAATGCTGCAACTTCCCCTGGTTCGTGATTAATTGGTTACCAAATTAACATTTATTTGTACTCCCAGGCTTTTCCATGTCTCACAGAAAGACCTTTTCGACAAGACCTTGGCTGCCGGCTCATGTTAGAATTGCGGAAGGCTCAGTATCAGGATTCCATCGCGGATCCAGGAGCAGCATCCGGTAGAGGAACACCGCAGAGGGTCCACTTGTTGGTCAAGGCCTCCTTTTTGCTTCAACTACATACACTTCGAGGCTAGCTCTTGTTGTTGGGTTTGACAAGATGCTCAATTGGGAAACCAGAAGCGAACAAATCTGGATAACCAGCCCAATTTGAAGCAACAAACGGCTATGCGGTCCCGAAGAATCCAGCAAGTGTTCTCCGGCGTTCCCTCATGCCAGGAGTGATGATGAAATGAATATTGATAATTGTATCGAGATCTGATAATGAGGCCTGATGGAAGATCGATAAGGAGGGACGCCCAGTCAGTTGAGGGTGGCAATATTGCCCCTGGACATGTCCAAGCTAGGTACTGGCAGAGAACCAGAAAGGCTGTTGGTCTGGGGTAGAAAACCGACCCCCCTTTAGAAATGGAATAATGTCACTCAAATGAAGAGATAATCCTGGATTAGGGCATCTAAGAATCTTTTGATTACTCTCCAGTTATTGCCGTTTTTGGCTCGAGACAGCGGCGCCTTATCTATACCAAGGGGCAGCAGCCAGGTGAAAGAGCTCCCTCTGTCTGAAGTTGACCCAGCCAATGCCGGTTCTACAAGATCACAAGGGGGGTATAGGGTGAATCCTTTCATACACATGTTCTTCACGCAAAAGGCTTATCCCAATTAGGAGTAGAATAGCTTGACTGCAGGACGGATTTTGAGGTGGGAACTCATGTCAAGTAATCCTCATTGTCTCTCCTCCAAGAATCTGTCTTGATTCTGCATCCATTAGGTTATGTGTGACCCAGAAACGACCTCGTGCGTTCTTGTTCTCAAGAGGATGTTGGTGTGTTACTACGGATCGTAAGCCCCCTTAGCTGACTGATGCCTTTTAAGCATTTGTCGAAAAGTACATTCTTGGTCGTATGAAACCTCTTTACCGTATGAAGCGCCTATGAACCTGTCAGATTTCTTTGTCCACTTTGAGATTACCAACAAGGCAGGCGATGGTAATCTCCGTCTATACTGTAATTCTTAGTCTGTCCCTGATGTAACAGAGTCAAAAGGTTAACAGAACCTTTGTAACGACTCCACTGGTGCATGTCGTGAACCAACAAAAGCCTCACCTTTGCGCTAATATCATGGTTTGAGTAGAATGTTCGAAGGAACATTAG